AATTTAACTGTAGTAGATGTAGAATACGATTGTTCAAAATCAAAGGTGCATACTATTATTCTTGTAGAGAATGTATAGAAGAATTTTTAGAAAACGAATAAATATTATTCGATAAAGATGATCAAGAAATAGAGGTTATAACTAGATGGTAAAAAAAAAGAAAAGAAGAAGTAATCAATTATGAATTAATTTTTTTTTTAAGTTTTACATCTTTTCATTTATAATTAAGTTCGCCATGTACTACGCAATATTCATTTCTATGTTATGCTGCTTTTACTAGAATTAAGTTACACATTATATTAAAACAGTTATTCAAATTATTATCAAATACCTATATTGTAATACATAACACAAACAACACGACTCAAATATACATTATATTCACTTGAAAATCTTTTAAATCTTTTCCATATATCATTATATACCCATAAACATTAGATGTAAAAGCTCATACGTGGTAACATAATGCACCACGTATGACTTAAGAGGAAAGGTGTTACGAGTAGATATTTTTACAAATTTAAACTTAAATTAATAGTCCGAAATAAACGTTGAGAACATTTAAAAGCTATTTAAAGACTTGAAATGAAATCCACAAGTATTCAGACAGCGATAACAGGCGATGGCACAGGCCATAAATAAATATCGATTTTAGCTTTGATTTCACATGGGAAAGAATCTTCCCCCTTTTAATTAGTAAGTGATAAGAAGCTCGCGCGGGGGTTCTTGTCACCTGAAAAGGTCAGTCTCAGTCTAGACTTGGACCAATTCAATCCAAACTATCTCAGTATAATAGAATCTTAAATCAAGTCAGCGCTCACAATTTCAACCTCTAAATAACACAACATAGTAGTATGTATAGGCGGGTTCTAACTCGGGAGCTCCGAGGGGGGAGCGGGGCGGGAGGGAATTTGCGCGGAGGGAATAACGTCACAGGGATAACCGCCGAGATGTTTACGTAAACATGGGCCATGTATGTTTACGTAAACAATGATAGCGGCGGGCCCTGTGAGAATATGAGAGGGGGAATGACATCACCGACGCGGGCGTTGCGCACCCCCACCGCACCCCCACCGCACCCCCGCCGCACCCCGCCGCACCCCCGCCGCACACCCCCGCACCCCCGCGCCGTCGCGGGCCGCGTCACGGGCCGCGTTTTCGGGCACGCGTTCTCACCCATAGCGCGCTCTCCCTCCCACGCATAGCGTGCCCATAGCGCGTTCTCGCTTACGCGCACGCGGTCTCCCTCGCGATCTCACGCATAGCGCGTTCTCCCTTCCACGCATAGTGCTCTCGCTTACGCGCACGCATAGCGTTCTCATCTATAGCGCGCTCTCCCTCCCACGCGTTCTCGCTCCCTCGCGCTCCCACCCGTTGTGCTCTCGCTCTCACGTACGCCGCCGCCATGCTTACGCGCACGCGGTCTCCCTCGCGCTCGCGCTTCCACGCGCTCTCACTCCCACGCACGCGGTCTCCCTCGCGCTCCCACCCGTTGCTAGCATTCTTTTCGCTTCCGCGCTTTCATCCATTGCAATATATAGGGTTTTAGAAAAAAATGTACAAGTATATTTATGAATACTTAGAACATATTATAAATCCAAAAATATAGTTATTACAAATATATAAGAATCACTAAAAAGGTATATATAGTTTTGTAAAATATGTATGAAATAAAGGGGCGCAGTGTGAAAATGTATTTTGTCGATACGTGTGTCCTGCGCCTCTGCCAAATTGATACCTCTGATGTTCTATCCACACGCTTTTTTTTCTCTCATATAATCGACCTCCCTCCTATATACCATTTCATAAAATATGTATTTTACTAGATGGTAGACAGAAAGGAGGTCGGACTCTATGAGAGAAAAAAAAGCTTATAGATGAAAAATCAGAGGTATCAATATGGCTGTCTCTTATACACATCTCTGAGCGGGCTGGC